ATATGGGAGAGAAAATAAACATAAATAAGTTGCGTCGACGTCTAAGTCGCAGGGTATGCAAATTAGGCAAAAGGTGCAACTTATACGCTGGAAAATACGGTAATCACACCAACACCATTTTATACTTAGACAAGTCAAAAAGACAGACTAATCTGTAAAGTCCACTAAATGGTGTGGTGGTGTGACATTTAACACGACTTACCTTCTTGGAAGCCCTGACTTGTGATATGATTCTTAATTTCCATGAATTCTGGTGCAGACATCCCGCACAAAATAAACTGGAATAACTTTTGTTTTTAAAAGGCCGGAAAGCAATAAGTTGTTTAAAACTCACAAGAATGCTGGCATCTTTCCACATCAAACAACATCCTAAACATCTTAAACAACCAAACAAACAACAACAACAAACAGTAGCATACCTCTATATTTGATAAAGTACTACTATGACTCATAAGCCTATCAGTCAGTAAAGAATATACCGGTAAAACTCCTGCCGACTGAGATTATTGTCTTGTGTTGAGAAGGGACAGAGTTGGAGCCGTTTTGGTCAAACCTTAAATAACTTTACGTACAATCTCATGCAATATTGTGAGATGTGTTAGTGCTCAGAGTATGTGTTGTTAATAACTCTCAGCTACTACCACACTGAACTTTAGCTCAATATAAACTTGATTAAGTCATTGCTATGTTTATTCTGGCTATAGTTGAGCTGTGTTTGCCATCTTGGATTAGGTTGACTCCAAAAGTTACCGTTATCCATCTAATAACTACTTTCTGAGTATTTCATAAAAATGTGTCTTGTGGTTTATGATCAATTATGCTAATAACATAATGCACTAAAACCTTATGTGCATATATTATCTTACCTCCTGTAGATAAGATTTTGAACAAAGTCATCTTGGAGGAATATTTTATTTCTGATTAGCCAATGAGCTAACGGCTAGTCTTAGAGAAGCAGAGACCGTAGTGGGTTACTTCTGCCTTAGAGCAACTCTAATCAATCCGATAATTGGACCAGCAGCTTCATTAGACCCACTTGTTCAACTGCTCCTCAACACAAATCAGCCAATCATATTCCAGCAACTCACTGCATTTACAAATGTAGACGTGGTGAATTTCAAACCAAGCATTAAATATTTTAGAAACTGATGATCTACTCCAGTTTTCATGCACAAACATTTCTAGGATTTGCAAAGAAGTATCCAAAAGGAGAAACTATCCAGTGAGTGGCAGATAATAGAAGGACAACAGCCGCTCTAATAATAACCACACGTTACAACCAAGGTATGCAGAATAGCCTCTCTGAACACACAACACGTCCAACCTTCAAGCAGATGGTTGCAGCAGCTCCTGACCTCACCAGGCATCACTCATGCCAGCTAGGAACAGGAAACTGAGGCTGCAATTTGCACAGGCTCGCCAAAACTGGATAAAAGAGTTTTTGGAAAAACATTGCCTGCCCTGATGCGTCTGGATTCACCGCACGCCAACCTGGACCTTAAATGATGTTACTATGACTTTGTTTCTCTTTGAATAACAGCAGGAATAAAGTCGATATCTTAACCTATTTAAATCCATCATCATCATGTGGTCAATACACTATTGACTGCAGCCATTTGGGGCGATTGCAGTAAAAGTACCAAAGTACTGTGCTGCCCAGCTGCTGTGTGGTGGAATATTTGTACGTGTTGCTTGGTATGCAGACGGCGTCTTTACCGCCTGTAGCCCTGCACACCTGCATCCCTGGGTCAAGTAATTACCTCACATCAAGGAGCTCAATTGGGCTTGACTAAAACATCATTGGTGTGGGATTGCGTCCCTATGTTTGGTGCTGCACAAGCCTAATTTAACCCACTTTGTCCAAACGCTCCAGGAGAATTGAGAACACGCGCTCCAATTCTGGTGCCCCCACCCCCAAACACTTCCTGCGAGTGTGACGCCTGGCAGCTGCGCTGTAGACATGCTGTCACTGGTTTCAGTGGAGCAGGAGCTGGAGTCTGGTGAGGGAAGAACAGGCTGGAGGTTCTGAGGAGGGCATCTTGGAATGAGTCATACCATGTCAAATCTGAGGGTTTTGAAATAAGGACATTAAAAACTGAAATATCAACCTGGAATGAGTTGGGACGCCTTGTGAGATCACGTTTGAATGTTTTTAGGTCTGTGCTCTCAGATGGTGGGAGATATTAATGAAGCAGCAATTGTCTCATTTATTGATCATTATGAACGACAAACAATCATGTAACTGGATGCATCTGTGCTTTTGGTTTTGTCTTTTAGCAAAATATCTCATGAATGTGGCAAAAAAAAAAAAACTCTTAAAAAAGAGTAATCACTGGGTTTGCATCTACGTCTGACTACATGTTGGAGTCAACCTGGTTCAAGATGGCATCCATAGCTAATCTTGAGTAGAAAACAAAAAACATAGTTACATTTCAAATCATTTTTACAGATATTAACCTAGAACCTGGTGTGGTAGTAGCTGAGGGTCATTCAAAACACATAATCTAAACATTAACAGATTGTATTTGATCTTGCTGAGACTAAAATGCTAAATTCCATCGTATTTCAGGATAAAATAATCTGAGATTAAAACTGGTATGGCAGGTTATGAGCAATATGCATTCCTTTAAGGCACATGTGTCAAAGTCAAGGCCTGAGGGCCAAATCTGGTCCTTGCTAACACCTTATCTGGCCCTCAGGATGATATTTTAAATAAAACATTTTTATTTAAACGTTAAAACCTGGCATATTTTATGAAGTGCAGATTATCATGGCAGTTGGTGAGATTTGAACCCAAGAAAAATGTGTTGGAACGCGTCTAATCTTTGATTTTGATGTGGAAAGAGCAACAGAACGTCATACGATTCTGCAACCAAGAAAAGATGGCGGGCGTCTGAGTCAGTGGATTGAAATGTACCATGGCTTTGAAACGATTATGTTGGCCCCTTTTTTATTATTATATCTCTTTAATTGCCGATCATGTCGTTCATCCCTACTTCCTTTACTCCCTCCCTACAAAATCTGGCAAAACTTAAACCTCTCAACCAGGTGGCTTCATTCTAACAAACAGTGTTTCACTTCTAATTCCATTCTCTCTTGCTCAGCTGTAACTTGTCTTTGTGTTTCTTTTGTCCCAGTAAATCCTGTTCCAATATTGATGGAGACGGGGACCACCGCTGACCGCTCAGTCAGATCTAAGAGGGTCAAGGGTGGCAGCGTTTCTCTGCAGGTTTCATTAAAGAAGCGCTGGAGTGTACATGCTCATGATTCTCTGACGCACCAACCTTTATTAATTATCCCCACTGCATGGAGACACCCCCCCCCCCCCAAAAAAAAAATACGTAATGTATTCGGATGCAGATAGAAGCTGGAAGGTGATGGTGTGTAAAATAGCATGTGTATGAAGCTGTTTTTATGTTTCCCTATGAGCAGCCCACCACCCCTCACAGTGAGATTCCCATTAAGAGAGGAGCAGGGGATTGGATGTGCAAATGGTTCCTGTGGATTAAACAGTTAATGCATTTAGTGTGTGTGTGTGTGTGTGGGGGGGGGGGGTGCTCCTAAATCTCTTGATTGCTGCTACTGGGGATGCTCCGTGCGGGGACGGCCGTGGAAGGAAGATACCCTGTCCCTTTGTGGGAACAGAGATTTTAAAGTAAACTGAGTAGATAAGGGCAGAGATGCCCCCCCCCCCCACACACACACACACACACACAGATTAAGGACTGACTGAGGAGGCTCAGTGTGTGTGCTCTGTTATTAAACTCAGCATGGAAATGAGATCTTCCCAGAAAAAGGAGCAGACGGTGACCTTACTAATCTTATTAATCAGCATCAGGGCTTTTTCATTTTCCTATTTCTGCCTCTATCCCTTCACACACACACACACACACACACACACAAACACACACACACACACACACACCGTGCACCCCCTGTTTTTGCCCAGATTTCTCTGAATCTGACACCCTCTGATCAAATCTGCAACATCATGTGCTTTGTAAAGGATCTCTCCTGGCAGGAGATGGTCCAGTTGAAGGAATGCATCTCGACCTCCACCTTACAGAGTTTTACATTCAGAGCATCTTATGTCAAGAAATGATGGAGATGAGATGTTTTTAGTGAAACGTTGAAATTAACATTATGCAAAATTTTGTCACTCTTAAAGTGCATGTTGTGAATGACTCTCAGCTACTACTACTTTGTAAAATTTGAGCTCTCTTTCTGTCAGACTGACTGCATTATAGCCATTTTTTGTGTTGATTAATGTTGATTGGTGTCCATTTTGAATTGGATTGACTCCAAAAAATGAATCAGCTGTAGATGAACATTTACAGATTACTTTCTAAAAGCTCCATTACAATTTGTCAACTGCTTCACGAAATATTTTCAGTATGTGTTGTGAACAACTCTCAGCTACTACCACTTCTAATTCTAGCATAATATATGTAAAATTAACTGGAATATAGCCATTTTTGTGTTTATTAAGGTCAGTTAGGTGGGGTGGCCATCTTGAATTGGGTTGACTCCAAAATGTATTCAGATGTATACATCCAATTATTATTTCCTTAAAGTTTTATTAAAATCCGTCAAGTGGTTGATGTTATATTTTGCTAACAGACAAGAAAACAAGACTTCAAATGGTTAATAGTAAAATGTCAAACAAATATTTTGCACAATCTGTTAGTGCTCAAAATATGCCTTAAGGGTTCAGTTTGAACTACTGCCACGCTGAATATTAGCCCAGTGCCTGTCTAATTAACTGAGTTCTTCTAAGTGGATGTGATATTTTACTAACAGACACATGCAGAGAAGGATGGTGACAGATCATGTAGCTCCACGCGGATGAATGTGGGTCCTCGGGTGGCGGTGGCCCCACTGGGTGTCACACTTGATGATTGTAGAGCCAGGGGCCGGGCAGCTGGAGGGAGGGGCCCCTCCCTCTGCTGAAGAAGCACATCATCATCAGCAGCAGCATCATCATCATCATCAGCAGCAGCAGCTCTGCGCTAAACAGACGCACAGTGAGTCAGCTGAGAGTGCGCCGCTGCGCTCCGATGGATGAGTGACTGCGTTCAGGAGGGACCCCGCGTGTTTGGAGAAAAGAAAGATGAAGATGCGACTCGGGAGAGAGTCTGACGTGCACATGCCGAGGTGTCGGAGCGAGCGGGTTGACGCATAATCCCACCCGCCCCGCTGGAACTGAGAGGAGGAGGAGGGGTGGACATCTAGCCTGGCTAAACTCAAATCCTCCAGAAGAGATTTACAGAGCTGCTCGTGCTGCGAGGTTATAAAGAGACACAACATTTTTTACAGCTTTTTCTCTCTGTGGGATCCGCTGGAGGTTTTTGGATCTGATGGGATGTGTGCAGTAACATTTCGTCTGTAAGAATCCACCGAGTCTGACTCTGCGTCGCTGGGACCGAGGTGTGGACCGGAGGAACATTATACATCCAAGGTAGATTTGGTTTTCACCGGGGGGAATCATCTGGAGCCATGATGACAGCCCCCCCACTGGTCCCACAGCCCGCCTGCTGACGGTACCCGGGCAGGAGGAGGAGGATGATGGGAGCAGGTCTGTCGCTTTCAGGATCCAGAAGCAGCCGATTCATCAATGGAGGAGGAGAGTGACACCCGGAAAGTCAACAACAGCTTCCTGCGCGACCACAACTATGCAACCGAAGGTACTTTAACTAAATAAACCAATTAGACACGATGAGCCAGTGAGGGTCCGGGAACCCATCAAGGCAAACAGTCTGGGTGATAAAAATGAATATATTTCTGTCAGACCATATAATGATGTCATTTAGGCACATTTAATCACCTTAGGCTCAACACAAGCTTCTGCCGAGGCAGGAAAATTCTGGTTATAAAAGGGATCCAGCCTGCATGTGGTGCAGGTGGTTTTCCAAAGCAGCTCTGCTCCTGTAATCTTAATGTAAAGCTGGTTAAAGTGTTTTTTATTCACTTGTTGACAGAAGAGAAGAAAAATGTTCCAAATGCTAGACGGGGCACAATGAAACAGCCTCTTTTTTTAGATACACGTGCAATATATGGCTGCTCAAATATGAACAATAGCTCTTCTCCACAGCTCAAAATGCTCTTTTAATAACCTGTTTGATGCTGAGATCATTTATTAGATTCTATAATAGGAGCATTAGCTGCTGGATGGATATATTTTAGATTTGAAAGCCTTTGACTTGATGTCATGCAGGTATTTAATCTCAAACACGCAGCAGCTCGCTTTAAATGCCAACATTAACATATTTACTGTATTTTCACCTCAGAGCCCAAGCTGCAGTCAGTCTCAACGCATCTTTTTAAAAATGCTTTCTGCTCGATAAATATACATTGTGTAGATTTGTGTGGTCATGATCGTTCTGTTTGAAAATATAGCCTAAATATTCTTCTCAGTAGGAAAAGCCTTAAATTGTTTCACACCACAGTTTTTTTTAACCATCTACCCTCCTGCAGAACCCAAAACCTGTTTTAATCTGAAATATGACTGAGCTCATAATGGAGTCGTCGAGTGAAATCTTTATGCAAATGTTTTTTTATTGCTCGAGTGGAAAGGAACAGAGGTTTTTTTTTGAAGGGTGTGCATTGCTGCAAGGGGGGTCAGAGCCACCACACCTACTTTTAGACAAGAGTTCAGGTTACAGGTGCGTCTGCAGGGTGGAGGAGAGTCAAAGTCAAGGCTTGGAAGGTAAAAAGTCTCCTCATTACATGCTTTTTTGGGTGTTTTTCCATACAGGGATGCCCCCCATCATTTCCTCAGCTTAGTAGATGATTTCCTGTCACCACTAAACCCACAGTTACTGGTTCACTGAGAGCAAAGGCAACGTGGGGGTGGGAGTGATGGATATCTTTGTTTGATGTGGGAGCTGAGATGAAAAAAATAAATGGGGAGGGAAATCTTCTTCTCTCTGCCTCGCTCTTTCCGTGCTTTCATTGGATCCGAGGAGAGACGATGAGACACAGATTGGAAAACGTGTCTCCTTGAAAGCAGAGGACGTCTCCATCTGTGCTTTTCTACACTTTTGTTATATTTTACTGCTGTAATTTATGACTGATCATCACACTCTGTACATCATAACTAGGTGTGTGTGTGTGTGTGTGTGTGTGTGTGGGGGGGGGGGGGGTGTTGTTTCAGGTTACAATGTGGGGACCAATTTTGCAAAAAATCCTACATTGTGAGGACCAACTGCTCCTTGTGGGGACCAAAGCCTGGTCCCCATAAGTATAAGTCTCGTTTATGGGTTAGGATTAGGCTATAGAAATGAATGGAAATCAATAAGGATGCACGATATTGGATTTTTGGCCAATATCCGATATGCTGATATGTTAAAACTTATTTGGCCGATAACCGATACCGATATTTTTAATATACGTTCCTTTGTCAGAACATAGACCTCTTATTTAGGCTTATTTGCTACAAAAATTGTGCAACAGCTGTAAGAGCTGGTGACATATATTCAGTAACAGCCATATGATATGCATAGCACTTTAACTTCAGCGTTTCCCCTACCATTATATAAGCAGGGTGCCCCACCCCGTCAACAGAACTGAGCACCCCGCCTATCAAAACGAACTTGACCCCACCCGGCACTGACATAGCACTAAGCTAGCAGTGCGAAATACAGGCTCTCTAGATTAGAAGCTAAAGGCAGTGCTCACGTTGCCTCTTCTCTCAAGTGGAACCCGCACACACACTCAAAAACTCTATATATTAAACAGCGCATAACACAAACATGTCGCGCTAAACTAGCAGTGCGCAATACAGGCGCTCTAGCTAAAAAGCTAAAGGCGCCTCTTCCCTCATGCTGAACGCCCCCCCCCCCGCCC